GAAGGGATTGTGTAAAATGGGTGTTAATTCTCGTTTGAATATCTGATAACATTCTCCAGTGAAACCATCTGGGGCTGGAGATTTGTTTTGAGGAGCTTCTTAATTACGAATTTGGTTTCCCTAATGGCTATAGGACTACTCAGGTTATCTACTTCATCTTGACTGAGCTTTGCTGCTCCATGGTTTTCAAGGGATTGCTCCGTGCCCAGCTGTCAGATATATGGGCATAAACGTTTTTTTGTAGTGTTTTCTTATCATTTTTGTAACAGCTCCAGGATCTCATTTCTGATATTGGCAACTTCTGTATTTTCCTCTCTCTCTCAGTTTTTTGGGTTTTTTTGTTTTGTTTTTTGTTTTTTGCTGCTTTTCAAAGGACCAGCCTCTCATTTCAGTAGCTCTCTCTCCTGTTTTCAGTTCTGTTTATTCCCCCTTGATCTGGACCCTTCCCTTGTTTCTCTGGTCTCTCGAGGTAGAGCCTCAACGCTTGGCAGGGCCACCCCTCCTCTCTAGCAGGGCACCCAGCGCTCCCTGTCCCCCGTGGCTCTGCCCGGTGCACCCCGCAAGTGCGTTTCATCTCACTCGACCCACAGGTCATGGAAGTGTGCTGCATGACCTCTCGTGTCTCTCTGAGGTTCCTGAGTCACTGTGATGTGTGCCGCCATCTGTTTTCAAACCCGAGACACTCCGGGCCGTCTTGTGTTTCCCTCCGGGAGGTGATGGACCCTTGTCATGATGAGGTGCGATGCTACCATCTTGCAGAAACGATACTCAGCTCCCCGTGTCCTGAGAGAGTAGCATTTCCACCCCCTGTTTTAGAATTCTCTTGCATTGTGCACATCTCGTCTGTTGAGATCAGGACTTGAGGACCCACACCTTGCAGTGGGTTAATCTCTGGATTCCTCCTGTTTCTTCACTTACGGATTGTCTTCAGTGCCCTCGCAAAAGGTGATCTTGCACTTGGTGGGCATCCCCTCATGCTTATGCAAGCCTCACCACCCCCTGCAGGTGGGGGGCTCGGGAGGGGACCGCCAACGGGGAGCTCTTATCTCTGCTTTCGGGGGGCAGTTCCCTACTCAGGGCATCTCACGAGAGGAGTGTCACAAAGCACCTGCCAGCTGGGACGCCGCAGGCTTGAGGGGCGGCCAGATATGGAGCCAGGCGTCGTGTAAGCACGCACACTTCTCTTACGCCGACCCGCAGCGGCAGAGCCCCCCTGCCCTGGCCCCTCTCCATGATGCACGCCGCGGCAGGCAGACCTGCTCACTGAGGTCTGGGCCGAACCCTTCAGGGAGGCCCGGCTCTGCCGTCGGAGGGAGAAGGAGGCCCCGAGGCGAGGCCTGGCTGAGGTCTGGGCCGCCGGAGCGCCTGACGGCCAGCCGGTGGGCAGCGCAGGCCACATTGTGGCGCCCACCGGCCACACTGCAGCCTGTCGCTCCCAGACGCTAGGGCAGAGGAGGCAAAGACCAGCCGTCAGCCCGTAAGTATTTCCAGCCACAGCCAACACGTCTTACTGGGCAATTTGCTTCTTAAAAAATTGCTCTCTAATTTTAAGTGAACAGCCCCTAATTAGAGTGATTTACAAGGTACCTGGGGACCGGGTGGTATTTGAACACGGCAGAGCCTAGCAGAGATTGATCAGCACTGCGTAATTCGGGGGCACGTTCTGGCAGCCGCATGACGTCAGCACCGCCTCGGGCGAGGCCCCGGCCCCTCCGACGACGGAACCGGCAGGCGTGACCAGTGGCGGCTGGCCGGTCGCAAGCCGTCGGCTTTGCCTTGATGTGGGTTGAGATGAGAACGTGGCCCTGGTCACGCCTCCTTCCAGCCTGCCCCCGGCCCGGTGTCGCCATGTCCGTGGCGTCCTGGCGCGTCCGGGATGGGCCTCGCGCTGGCTCGTCTTCAGTTGTGCTGTTCCTCGAGACAGGGCTTCGGGGCTGCAGCCACGAGGGACGTGTGATGCATGTAAACAAAGCACAGTCAGGGCCCCGCAGCCCACGGGGATCTGGGGAGGCACACGGAGAACGCCGTTCTTAGGCCCGAGCTGCCGGAAGACCACCTCCCATCCCAGGTGGGCAGCGGTCCTGGCCAGGGCCCCAGTGCAGTGGGCAGGGGTCCCCGGTTTAGGGGACGGCTGTCCCTCAGCCGCCGAGCCAGGAGCATGCATGGCCTCTCTCACCACCCCCTTGCCCTGTGTTGGCTTCTCGCCCCGACAGCTGCAGAGAATCAGCCCTCCTGACATTTAGGGGAAGAAATTCAGAATTGAGCAGAAGGCAGAAATGAAAGGATTTTCTTGGTAAAAGGTCAAGTGGTTTCTCTTACTTTTGTTTAAAAATGGTTTGTGTTGAACTATGAAAAGGCTAAATGTAGGAGCGGACGAGGGAACAGGGTCGGCTGCTCGGGGAGGGGTGGGCACCCTAGGGAGGCGGCAGGGGAGCGTCTGGGCTGCGAACCAGACGGGGAGGTGGGCAGCGCCGGCACCGCGAGCTCTAACAGCTCCTCGGGGCTCACGGGGCGCGCCGTCGGAGGGGATGCCAGGCAGAGCCGGCTCCAGCTCTGGGGTCGCAGAGGGTGTCCGCCTGCCCCTCGGGGGCAGCTCCGGGCCTGGAACACGGGGGCCCACACCTGCCAGGCTGGGCCGGGTCTGAGGCCCGTGGTGTGCAGGGGTGAGCGGGCAGCCCGCTGCAGCTGCTGGGGGAGGGTGGCGCCCGCCCGTGTATCTGCTGCGTCCTGAGCTAATGCTGGGACTTCTCCGCGCCCTTGCTGTTCTGCTTGCTCTGGATCAGTGACCGCATGTGAGCGCGGTGGTCTGTGCTTAGCACGTGTTCGAGGCGCATCTGTGGCAACGGGGGTCAGAGCCTCACTCTTTTGGTGGCCGAGTCCTATCCCGTTGGGGGCACCCCACATTTCATTCACCTCTCCTCCGCGGTCATTGTTCCCACTTCTTGGCTCGTAGAAATGGGAGTGCTTGTGGCCAGGCGTCTGTGTGGACCGAGGCCCCAGTCCTCACTGTGCACCCAGGGCTGCACCTGCCAGGTCGTATGCGTACCCTCGAGGAGCCGTCAGAACGTTCTCACCGGTGGGGGCGCCACTTCCATTCCAGCAGCCGTGCGCAGGCCCTGCTGCTCCGCATCCTCGCCAGCACTGCTGCCCACCGTGGACCGTGGCCGTGGCCGTGCTCGTGGCCGTGGTTTCGACTTGCCCTTCCCTGCACGCTGGTGATGCCGCGCAGGGTTTCACGTGCTCGTCGGACACCTGCGCGCGTTCTCTGCACAAACACTCGTTAGGATCATTTGCCTCCGTTGTAATTGGGGCGTTCGTCGTGCAGAGGCCGTGGACGCAGACCCCATGAGCCGCGTGGGCTGAGAGTGAGTGTCCTGCAGGCGGCAGCCGCAGGCCATGGCCAGCCCCGGACAGCAGCCGGCAGTCGTCGGCTCTCTGCGCGCCGTCCAAGGGTCTTGGTACATCCGGGCCCCCGAGGCGGCACCAGGGAGCGGGCGGGTTGGGTCCCTGCGGAGAAGCCTTTTCTGGTGAGAGCTGTCCAGGAAGGGGGGTCCTCCGTCACCAGGAGTGGGGACTCTCCAGACTGAGGGGCAGCGTGGTCCCCAGCCCGCCCCTGGGCTGAGCAGGTTGCATGTGCAGAGTGGGAGGGAAGTTGTTTTTTGGGGGTGCTGACCCTCAGTGACCCCACTCAGCTCCTGACACCCCTTAAGCCGCCCCGCCAGTGCCGCCCACCTCGCTGAATGGGGTTCAAGGGCCACAGGCTTCTGTCTCACAAACACCCCCGTCTTCCCTGGCCCGTGCCCCCAGCTCACCCGGCAGGCAAGAGCCCTGAACGCTCCCCCACCCCTGCTGGAGACGTTCCCAGGGGCCAGCATGGGCCCCAGGCGTTCCTACTTACCTGGCTCAGCCCACTGGCAGGTTCAGCCCACGTCAGGGCAGGCAGGGTGCGGTCCGGGCTCAGGCAGCCTCCCCCTGCTTCTGGGAGTCTCCCGGGCACTGTGAGCCCCGTGCCTAAGTGCTCAGGCAGCCTCGGGCCTCGTTCACGCCCCCAGCTCAGAACCCCTAGCTGTCCTCCACCCCCTCCCCAGGAGCACCTGGCCCTGTGGCCCAGGCCCGGCTCTGCCCAGACCTGCCTTGCGACCCAGGGCGGGCCCCAGCTCCCGGGGCCTTGGTCTCCCCATTTGCACATGAGGGGACAGCCACCTGGTTTTGGGGAGCCCTGCCCTCGGTCCCACACAGTGCTTGGAGCTGAGGCATTTGGAGGTTTATCTCCGTCTCCATGGGATAGACTCGTCTTCCTCCACGGCCTCCACAGGCCCTGAAGCCGGGACCACACCCCCCCTTTGTGCTCTCCAGGACTGCCCAGCCCCCCGGCACCCCACAGCCATTTCCTGCAGGCCAGCAGAACTCCAGATTCCTGCTCCCTCACTGCACAGACAGGGAAACTGAGGCCCAGAGGGGCATTTTCAGCAAGGCCTACTGAGCGGGGTTAAGCCCAGCAGTGCTGCCAGTGGGAACCTCCTCCTTTCCGTGGCCAATGGGGTGTGATAGGGAAGAAATGGATGTGAACTTGAGTAGCAGCCCCGTGCCCCGCCTGGATGGGAGATACCTCCTGGGGGGGGGGGGGGTGTTGGACCCCCACCCCAGAGCGCCTCGCAGCCTTCCAGCACTGTTGGGGAGCGGGCAGGCCACCGTCCTCGTGGCGGCTGGGGTCTGAGGATGGGGAAGGCTGGATGGGCCAACCGGGAGGAGCTGTGTTTTAGATTCCAGAAACGTGGGTGAGACCCGCGCCCGCTGGGAAGGGGAGACGCCCGGCCTTGCTGGGCATGGGGGCAGCGCCATGCCTGTCTGGCCCCCACCCGCACCGACCCTCCAGGGGCAACTTGGCCCAGCGCTCGTGGGACAGGGTCTCCGCGGCTCCCCCTGGGGGAGGGGATGGGGCACCCCCAGGCCACCACCACGCTGACCGCTGTCCTCCCTGTCTCCCGCCCACCTCGCAGGCCACGGGACCCTCGGGCGCCAAGATGCAGCTGCTGGAGACGGCGTTCTCACACTCGGTGCGGGAGCTCATCGAGCTGCACCTGCTGCGCCAGGACAGCATCCCGGCCTTCCTCAGCGCCCTCACCCTCGACCTCTTCAGCCGCCAGACCGTGGCCTAGCCTGCAGCCGTGCGCCCCGGCGGCGGCCGCACCTCAGCTCCACGGTGCACGTGGGCAGCCGCCCCCATGCACCCAGCCCGGCCCGGGCCGCATGCTGCCCCCTCTGCCCAGGACCCCTGCCAGCTGCCCGGGGGCCGCCCGCTCTGCAGGGCAGGGGCCCCGCCCTCCTCCTTCCCCAGGATGTGCGGTGCCGCTGCTCTGACCCGAGGCCTGGGGGCCGAGCCGTCCCAGCCCGCTTCCAGTCCCCGCCCCGGCGTGGGCCCCCACCCACGCACCGCTCAAACCCAGCCGTGTCGGGGGCTGCCAGCCAACGTCCCTGCTCCCCCTGAAATAAATTTTGCTCCTTGGCCACCCTGCCCGGCTCGCTGTGTGTGTCTGAGCTGACAGGCTCGCTCTGCCGACCCTCCGTTTGGCCCCAGGGCAGCCCCTGGACACCAGGGGACAGTGGGTGGCGGCCCAGCGGCCACCATCACTAGCAGATGAAAGAGAGGAGGTGCTCAGGTGGAGCAGAGAGGTGAAGGCACCTCCCGACTCCAGACTTGGGTCGCCCGCCTGCCAAATGGACCGATCTGCTGCCTCTGAGGCCGGCCAGGGAGGCGGCTCCGAGCGCCCCCACATAAGTGCTGGCGGCAAGGACTGGGTGGGCCTGTCATGGGGGTGGGGGTCTCCCGAAACCCCAGGCCCCAAGGGAGAGGCCAGCGGTTCCACAGTCCCACCCTCCTTGGTTTGGTGCCCTCGGGACGAGCAGCGTGCAACACACCCGGGCACTCAGGGCTGAGGCTCCTGCAGGCCAGGCTGGGGCACGGGGACGGGGGCTGCCTGCATGGGAAGGGGCCCACATTGCTCGTGCAGGAGGGACTTCGGCCTCTGTGCTCATAGCTCGGGGCCTGAGGGGGGCCCGCTGACCGGGGGCCTAGGAGCTCGGGGATGCCTGGGGTGGTGGTCTGTGCCCCCCGCCCCCCGCACGGGAGGTTGGGGGCACAGAAGACGGATTGCCTGGGGTGGGAGGCCGGAGCCCCACCTCATTGACATGCGCAGCTCCGCACGCCAGGCCTGTCACAGTCATGGGGAAAATGAGTCCTGACGTCAGCCGCCCCATGCGTCTGCATCGGTGGTGCCAGCCCGTGGCCGGGCAGCCCCACCGCGGGCGCGGAGATCACGTCGTGCAGTGAGCCCGCTATCTGAGCCCGGCAGAGCTGGGGGGAGCAGCTCAGCGAGCTGGCTCTGCCAACAGTGGGTCCCGAGGCCACTGGCGGTGGGGGGTGGGGCCGGCCTAGGTCCGCCTGCTCCCTAGAGCCCAGGGAGAGCGTGCCCTGCGTGTCACCTCCAGGCGCACACCCTGGGGGGGCTCCGGCTACACCCCCCACACCCTGGCCCCCAACCCCCACATCCCCGAGCCCCCACGCCCAGCAAAGCTGAATGAGGCTGGGGCCGCTCCGCTCCGGAGCTTGGACCATGGACGTGTGCCTCAGAGACAGGGCCTGGCCAGGCCCCGGGGTCACCACCAAGGTCAGCCGCAGGGCCACCAGGCTCTCCTGCTAGGACCCCGAGTCCTCTGGCTCCTTTGATACCAGTACGGCTGGGGGGGGGGGGGGGGACCTTTGGTGTTTCCACTCCGCAGATGAGAAAACAGGCCGGTGTGGTCAAGTGGCTTCCAGGGCCGTGAGCCAGTTGGCACGGGGACTCTGGCCCAGCGCGGGGGGCTCTCTGCCCTCCACAGCCTGAGGTGAGCTCAGGGGTCCCAGCACCAGGTGCTGCGAGCCCCCAGCGTGCTCGCGTCCTGTCTCATGGACGGCACTCAAAACCCCGCTGTGTTAGAGCCAGGGGAGCCCCCAGAGGAGCTCCTTGCGGGGAATGGGGAGGAAGCTCCTGGGGGTGCAGGCTTCAGAGTGGACTCGTCCACGCAGACCATCGTGAGCAGACGTTGTGTGTCAGGCTGGGTTCTGGGTGCTGGGAACACATCGGCCTGAGCCGAGTGCCTGATCTCTCGTCCTGCACCATCAGAAGCCTTCAGGGAGGCGTGGGTGGGGCGGGGGCTGAGACCCTGCGCGCGTGCAGGTCTATACACATGGGCGCCATCCCAGCCTGCAGACAGCCACTGTCCAGGGCGGTGGGAGGGGGGCTGGTTCTTGCCGAGATGGCTTAGGAAGTGGGGTCCAGCTGGGCCCCGGCAGCAGGTGGGACCTCGAGGGACAGGCCGGAAGGCCAGGGGAGTCCTGGCTGGTGGGCCACGACAGAAGCTCTTCACCTCTGCCCAGTGGGCGACAGTGAGCACCAGGGCCCGGGGTCCCGGTGGGATGCCCCCCAAAGGGCACTGTTGGTTACAATGCCAACCTGGGCAAGAGAGGAATGTTCTGGAAGGATTTGGGTCGGGGCTGAGGAATTGGGCTGCATCGTGCCACAGTTCCTCCTCCCACTGGTGGACACATGGCCCCGTGGCCACCACCTACCCACTGCCTGACACACCATGAGGCCCCCCCAGCTGCAGGACTCCAATACCGTCTCTGTCCGGGATTCCTGACCCATCCCCGAGGCTTTCGTCACCTCTCCAGTTAGGGTCCCGGCTAGCTCTCGGATCGGCGGAGCCTGGGCCGCCCGCCCGCCGTCCCCGCTTCTGTAGGAGGGCAGGGTGGGGGCCAGGCAGCTAAAATCCAGCCAAGGCCCTCCCTCAGGTCCAGACGCCCAGACGTGGGCCTCGTCCCTGCCACGGCCCCCAATTTCCTCGCTCCACAGAGAGAGGGTCTCCGAGGCCCCTTCCAGCTGGAGAGCCCACCGGGGCCCGGCCCAACCACCCAGCGCCGACACAGGGCCAGCGGGCGGTGGACGCTCCCTGTGTTCCATGGCGGGGTTTTCCTCTCCAGAGGAAGCATGCAGGTGCAGGTGAGGCCCGCCCGTTCCCACCAGCAACCCCAGCCCCGGGCTGACTCAGGCACCTGCTGCTGGAGTTGGTCCGGGCCCCTGGGGGCCGCCCGCCCCGGGAGCCAGGGAGGTGCAGACAGCACACGGAAGTTCTGGTTGTTTCTGGCAGATCCCTACTTCTGCCAGCTCATTAGTGGGCACCCGACGCTAAATGGTTCTTAAGCCACTAATGACTAATTCTAAGGGATTAGTGCCACAGCGATAAACTCTAATTGCCAGGGTATAACAGGGTTGGAGGGCGACAGGGCTCCTTCCAGCTTCCCGGAGACTCCAAGGAGGACAGCGCCGCCTGCTGGGGCCTCTGCGGGACCCCCACCCCCACCCGCACCCAGCCTGGCACTGCAACCGCGTGCGGGCATGGGGACCCACAGCAGCAGCCCCGGGAGCCCGTTAGGGATGCAGGTTCCCTGGGCCTGCCTGGACCAACCCAGTCGGAATCTGCATTTGCCCCGAGGCTGCGAGGCCCGCAAGCTTCCCTCCCGCCTGTGAGTTCCTCCTGGTCCCGTAGTGGCGCTGGGTCCAGAAAGGGCAGGGACCTGCCTCGGGTCACATGCCCAGCCCTCCCGACCAGGTTCCGCAAGACCCCAGCTCCTGGGTCCAACTTGGCCCAATTCCCTCACGGTTAAACGTCCGCAGGACGCCAGAGCCAAGCAAGTCCAGGCGTGTGGACATACGGGACTGCGTGTCCGTGCACGCCTGTGTGTGTGCCTTTGCACGTACGTGCCCGTGTGCACGTGTGTGCGTGCGCTGTGTCCGTGCGTGCGCTCACAGTGAGGACACCGGGCTTGTCCAAACTGCTTCCCTTCCTGCTCGAGACCAGAGACGGGCAGGGCCTTGCCCCAAATCACACAGCACGAGGGCCGGTGATGGAGCGCGGGTCCGAGAGCAGCCGCCACTCGTCTTGTTGAGCAGATTTTCAACGTAAAGAAAAACCACCCTTCAGCCCGTCCCAGCCCCTTCCGTCCGCGGATGGACGTGCACGCCTAACGCACGGACACACAGAAGTACGCTGGATCCGGGGGGTTTGCACAGTAGCTGAAGTATCTGAAGCCTCGCTGTTCTCACCGAATCGTCTTGGAGGTTTTCCACGGAAGCATCTACTGATGCATTTCACTGGCGTTGCGCTGTTGTTGTTCCTAAAACACTTAGGAAGTTTTATTGAAAACAATAAGGCACAGAAACACCCGAGTCTCATCTTAAAGTTGACAGCATTTCTCAGAACAGTCAGAGTTCTCAGCCATTTTGGTCATTGTTTTAAAAAACAAAAGCCAAAACAAACCAAACCAAATTAACAAGTATGTCTTGCTCGTAAACCTTCTTCTTATGGTTCGGTCCCCGCTGTACGCACGGCTCCAGATTTCCCAAATGTACCTTTATTTTTTTTTTTAAGATTTTATTAATTCATTTGAGACACAGAGATACAGAGACAGAGAGCATGAGCAGGGAGAGAGGGAGAGGGAGAAGCCGGCTCCCCGCCGAGCAGGGAGCCCGATGCGGGACTCGATCCCAGGACACCCTGGGATCATGACCTGAGCCGAAGGCAGACGTTTAACCGACTGAGCCACCCAGGCACCCCTCAAATGTACCTTTTCAAGAATGAGGGTAGTACTGGGGGGTTTCTAACCGGTGACTGTCTCTGAGACCTGGACTCCTCGGGCGCCTTGGACCCGCCAGTCCCATCGCATCTTGCCGCCCCGCATCTCACCTGGCCCACCTCCGTGAGGGGCTGGGTTGTGTTCCCCAGATCCACAGGTTCAAGCCCCAGGACCTCGGAACGTGATGTATTTGGAGAAGGGGGTTAAGGTAAAGTGAGGTCACGCGGACTGGGGTCCTAGAAGAGGAGGAGACACGCACAGGGGCACGACCACACGAGGACACGGAGAACTCGGCGTCTGCACACCACAGAGAGAGGCCTCAGGAGGAACCAGCCCCATGCACACCCTGACCTTGGACTCCCAGCCCCCGGGACGTGAGAGAGGATTTCCGTTTAAGCCCCACCCCCGTGGGATTTGCTGCAGTAACACCCTCATCCCCTTCCCCTGCACTATTCCTCCTGCGGCCCCTCTCGGCCCCTGGCCTCGTCGTCACGCGTACTTCATTGACCACACGCAGGCGGTACGTCCGTCCTCGGCCCCACGGCACGTGCATTCTCCACAGGCGCGTGTCTTCTCGGGAACCCACAGAAATAACACGCAAACCACACACGCGTGCTTTGAACTTGTTCAGTAGCCACATTGAAAAAGTAAGAAGAAACAGGTGAAACTGAGTTTAGAAAATACATTTTATTTAAGCCAAGGATTCCAAAATGTCACTTCAACGTGTAATCAATATAAATAATTAACGAGATTCATTTTACGGCACGCCGCGTCTGGGCAGCCCAGTGTCGTCTTTCATGCCCACCGCCGGCCTCCACTGGGACAGGACCCTGTCTT